GAAAGCACCGGAGGACAATTCTGACAAAGGTGACTTGATGGGAATTAACGCTGAGTCCGATACGCAAGCTGTTTTCGATCAAAATGGAGTCGATAACCACTGAGTGGCTGGTCTGCCTGTGTGTACGATAACAGGTAATGATTTTGAGCCACAGAGGACGTAAGAACGAACTGTAAGGGATAAAACGTAATTAATTTTTTTCTGAATGTTCTTGAAAACAATTTGATTTTCAACAACCATAGTCATTGTCATCGTCATCTCTCTTTGCGCTAGTAGGCGAATAAGACCGTGATTATACAGTAAAACCCCGGTAACTCGCCCATACCCGCCCTTTAATTCTGCCGAAATGCATTTGGGAGAGGTGGAAGCGACACAGGTTACTGATCACCTTATCCAACAATAGACGTGGTTTTGAACGCCGAGACTTTAATAGAAGATTTCGTATATGCGTCTCTTCTATTTTTTCCTTATGGACTTGGCAGCAGCTATACTGATATTTCTTAGCTGTTCGCTTGTATCGTGGAGTCGCAGATTATTAATTTGTTGTGATGACCTAGACGGCTTGCTTTTACAAAAGTCTGCATAAAAATTTTTTCAATTAGTTTATTAGGTCTTGGGATTTCCAGGTGGAAAACTTTCAGAATATGGGGAGATTTCCTTGTAATTTTTATTTTATAAGAGGTATAGAAATTATCAAAGTGAACTGATCTTACGTAAATTTTCTAATTCGAGGGATATTCATTTGGTGGATCTTTTATGTCCTATTGGTGTAAATAACTAGAAATAAAACAAATATATAAGTGAGTTTAAATGGCAGAAACTCATTCAGCTTTCATTACTTAAATTATCCGTAATAGCGCGAGATTGTATAGATTAAATTAGGACATGCGAGATTTGGACCATTGTTTTTCAATAAAAATCGAGTCTGAGAAAATGGCAAATCAATTTAACTTTTTAGGTACAGTATGATATGGAACAATTGCATTGGTTTTACTATGTCCCTCCTCAGCCTTTGAATCTGGTTAAAGCGATTCTTCGGTTTATCGATTGGTTTCCCTTTCTCGATCGTACACGAAGTTTACAGGGAGCGAGGTCCTAAACTGTTTGAGAGAATTGTGGAAGGTTGAGGGGTTGGAAAAAGGGTGGATGCTTAATATCTCGCAGTCAGAAAAGGGCTAATGGGAGGAAGCCTAGAAAAAAGGGCGGAAGCCGGGAATACGGGAGGCGGGAGGAGTGGACCCCCTGCCCCCCACCCTTCCCTCCCCCCCTAAGACAATGGGGCTTCCCTTGTCCTCTCATTCACAAGTAAATTGAATATGGTCCCTCGCAGAATGGTATGTGACTGTTTTTCACTATCGTTTTCAGTTAATGGTTCAACTAAGCGGAGTGAAGATTATGCAAAATCTGTAAGAAATTGTTTTCCTAGGACTGTGTTAGGAGTGTCACAAGCGTTCGTAAAGGAAGCTCATTTTTGTGTTGCAGTTTCTCTGGCGTCACATAGGTTCTCTCTTTCGTATTAACCGGTGTCCGTTAAGCGGATAAATTTCGTCGATACCAGCGGTGGCGGAAAGTGGGGTTCCACAGATTTTTTCTGGACCATCGAGAATGGAAGCTATTTTAGCAGTTCGTTCCTTAGTCGCTTGTTTTTGTTTAGAATTTGGACAGTGCTGTTATTGAATCATTTCAAGGAATGTCCTACAACAGGCGGTACCATGAATGCGTCAAAGTTATATGTATGTATGTATGTCTTTCACTATAGAAGGTATTCTGCAGTCACGTTTCAGGGCTGGCCCTTTTGCACGCCAACAAAATTGCAATTCATAAATTAATTATTCCATTGCCATTGTTCAGTGACCTAAAACCAAATACTAAATTCCATCCACTGGGGGTGGTATTCAAAATTGCTCAATCTGGCAGCGTCAGCCGGGTGTTTCAGCGACCTTTGTGACGACTGACCGAATAATATGGTGTAATCATTTATTAAAAGCTATAGCAAGGTGTCCTTTCTGTAAGCTGAAGAAAAGGGACGATAGAGATTTGATTAAAGACTGAAACGAAAATGAAGCGACTAGACGTTATTCGGTGTTTTGTGATTTGAGGGGCCCTGAAACAGGGGCACCCAACGTCAATTTTCGGAAAATATCTGTTCGGAAGACGACTTGAGATCTAGAATTTTCGAAACATTTGTGGTAAAATTTGTTGCTTGCCTGTCTCTCCTAGGATTTTCGAACATCTAAAAAATGGTATAATTGCCCATTTTAGACGAATTTTTACCCTAAAAAGGTCACCTAGAATTTTCGGAAGCCTTTTTTCTGGCTGAAATTTTAGAAAAGGTAAGTTTTGGTCCCTATGATTTTCGGATCACCAGAATTTCAGCTAGGAAATCCGAACAGATGAAAAATATTTAGGGAATAAAAATATGCCTATATCTACCGTTTAAATACTAAAATACGTTTAACAATGCAATGTTTAAGTGGTTTTGAACTATACTCTCCTTGGGTACCCCTGCCTAAAAGTTCAGGTTTTCTGCTGATTTGTATATTAATACAATACTGGCACAAACTTTCTTCGTAAAAAAGAAACTCACTTTTGACGCTTTATACCGCCCTTAATAAGCTATTAAATTTGCAATTGTTACTCCCGGGGGGGACTCCTACATGAAGTGACCGGGATGCTCCTCGTCTCGCTTAGGGGCATTGTAAATTGCAGATATGTTAGCCTCACTTGAGGTGTTTGGGATGGAGAGTCACTATATATTTACAAAAAATGCCCTGACACTGACCACACAGAAATCTCCCTCACGGGTCAGTTTAAGCTTGGGCCACAGGCACATTGGTCTCCCTTAGGGTTTCATTTGAATTTTCCGATGAGCATCCCCGTCAGTTTTATGTGGGAGTCCCCCCGGGTTGTCGCCGTAGTCGTTGTACTCAAATTATGTGGATTAGCTAAAGAATCCAAGGTTTAGTGTTCTTTATTTGTGGCCGGGTCGTGACCACCTGGTTGTCTAAAAATTGGCTTCAAGGCTCAGTTATAAAATTATCTTCGGAATTTGAAGTTTTGACCGTTATGCGATGTGGTCGCTTGAAACGAACATTTTTTTGTCATTTGCTCGTCTAGCTTTTTGAGAATAACGATTTCACGGGGACCTTTTTCCGTTCTTGTTCGTTCAGGACTGTGATAAATTCTTACAGTTCTGAGAAGGATCACAACTGTTTTAGTTGTCTGTCCGTTTAATTCCTCGACTACGTTCTTCAAAGTTATTTTTTTGTAATATAACTGTTTCCTTTCGCTCCGTAAACCGCTTTCTGAGTAAATTCTCCGTAAAGCATATCATGCCTTTGCCGGCTGTCTTATTTCTTTTCCAAATAAGTTACCCTTAACTCCTTCTCGCTCCATGCGAGGGAATACGGAATATATCCGGGCAGTTGTTCTTGTAAATGTGGGATCCAGAGCTTTGGAATCCTGAATACAGCTCAAGGAATCCGGATCCTCACTAACGATTGAAAACTGCAATCCAAGTTCCCCTGACAATTAAGAATCCAGCAATCCAGTGCCTGAATCCAGAATCCTCGTCATGGAAAGTAGAATTCCAGACTATCTTGGATTACGTAGATGGGGCAAATTTCATGATATGCAGATGATTCTTTAGTTCCTCTCAGGTGTTAGCTTCAGTGCCCGCACTTAAGGTATTTGAAGTCACGTTCCGAGGTGGCCTTTCTTTGAATAGCCAATTAAGTTACAACTCATAGATCAATTGTTCTTCTGTAGTTGTTCGGTGACCTTAAAAGAATGGTAAATATAAAAATCCCCGGGGAGCGATTCAAAATTGCTTAATCTCGCCTTTTCATGTGTTGTTCTGACATCTGTAAAATATAACTATTTTGTTATTACTTTCAGCGAGCTTTGTGACTGACCATCGAATATGTGCAATCAAAAGCCTATAGCAAGACGTTCTTTGTATAGGCCTAAATGGGACGTGTTGAGTTGATGTACATTTGCTGCCTTTATGAAAATGGGTGGCGAGTATCAGGCCTTCATCAGAGTCCAAAAGGAGGGAAAGGGCCTGCATGTACCAAATCAGTTTTGCTGCTGATTTATGCAATTCATTATCAACTAATTTTTTCGTAAAAATCTCGTTTTCAAACTTTATACCAGCCTGCATACACTATTAAATATTTGCAATTGTCACCCTAACAGTTGAACTCAATTATCTGTATTAACCAAACGAGCAGGAGTTGATTGTTCTTGATTTGCGGTTCGTGACCACGATCTAAAAAAGGGTTTTGTCAGCAGTCAAGAATGTGATTATTATGCGTTTTGGTCTCGGTCCACGTGATTGAACATAACTCAAGCTCTAGCTTTTTTGACAGCACGAGCGATAAATGTAGTCTTTTTCGTGACAGAGTTCTGGCTTTTAAAATGTTTCTCACGCCCTAGTTAAAACTAAGGTGGCTCGTGATAGTTTTCTCGCTCGGCTTATATAATTTGTACAAGGTTACTTTTGACCTGTTTTAACTGAAATTCGCGCATCAGTCTCCATATACACTGATAAATCCTTCTTTAACCACATATTTTCAGAGAAAAGTAATTCTTCATTACGCTCAAAAAAAGGTGTACACTGGTTCGAGCCACCGTAGTAAAAAAGCAAAGATAAATACATAGCAGAAATGATCTTAGGAAACCCAAACTTTCAGGACTTATACGCTTTGAATAATTTATTACATTTGTTATTGTTGAATCATCAATTACTTTCGCAATGAATATTGCTTCTCAAGCACTTTTCTTCCTTTATTTCACTTTTTCTCGAACGGGATAAAAACATATGAATACAAAAATATAAAAAGTAAATCTTTTGATAGTTTTCTCAAAAAAGAAGAATTTGGAAGTGTATTGCCATGTCCTCAAAATACTTTAAGACTTTAAGTTAAACTTCTTGACAGCTCAACTTTATAATTGTTATTGTTTGAAACGGAAAGACCATCGCTTTTTGAGTCCTTGGTTTAAAAACTTCTTTCAGGCGAATCTTTATCACTCTCCTTCAAGGATGTTAACATAAGTTTGTGGCATTCAAAATGTCCGTTCGCCCACGATAAAAGGAGTGGTGTTCGTCCTTGCTTATCCGGCAAATTGACATCAGCTCCTCGTTGTACTAACAGCTTGATACACTCCAAATTGCCCTTCGCAGCCGCTTTATGAAGTGCTGTTTCTCCGGACGAGCTTGGCTTGTTAAGATAAGAGGGCTTTTTATCCAACAGTTCTTTCAGTTCAGAAACCGAGTCCTGGCTTGCAGCGGAAAGAATCAAGGCGTATATCGAAAATGTGACCCGTTTGCAGATTTGAGTTGGGCTCGCTGTAGTGTCTTGTTGCTCGTGACGAATACAAGATTTCACAGGAACAATTTCAGTTCTTGTTCGTACAGGACTGTGCTGAACTCGTACAGTTCTTCGGTATGTCGCAGTTGTTTTAGTTGACAGTTCCTTTCCTTCACAACCTTTTTCTTCATTTTCATTGTAAGGTAACAGTTTCGTCTCGCTCCGTAAGCTGCTTTCAGAGCGAACTCTCCTCAAAGTGTTTTCCTCTGTCTTGTTTCTCTTCCAAATAACCGCTACACCTTCCTTAAATTTCATGATTCGCGGTTGTTTTTCGAGTATGAACAACTCGGTTAGCTCATTAAGTTTCTTCATTGTGCGTCTCCCTAGCTCTTTCACCGTTCGGATTAGTTTGACAAACTGATCACAGCAGACTAGTAAACTTATCCTCCGGACGTTGTTTTGTTGTTTTTACACATGGCCTTTCCTTTTGTTTAGCTGCAGCCCACGTCACTATACCCATAAAATCACCTATTGTCCTGTTAATGTTTTTAAATCTATTCACAACCACGACAAGTGCTTTGTTCCAGATCGTTCAAGCGAGTTCTTACAGTCATGTCCGACTCAAGATAACTTCAACTGTTGCAACATCACTTATTTGCTCATGTAGACTTTTTCTCTCTCTAAAACAGGACACATTTACAAAATTTCCAGCTCGATTTTTATAAAGAAAAATTCTTAAATTCTTAAATTCGAATGAGGAAATTTATTTTTTTTTGAGTGGGACATTGTTTCCCTATATTAGCAGGCTCCTAAAACATCCAAAAATATCCACAGTTATTCGATAAGGGACTTGGATCCAAAAAACAGTATAAGTCGACTTTTGCTCATAAACAAAGGCGCAAATTTGTGCGATTTACACACTGTCATTTTACGTTATATAATTATAAAAAGTTCTGTAGATGTTAACTCTCATTTTATTATTCAGACTATCTATTTCTAGTTCCAAGAGAGCTTTTACTTTAAAACTGCTGAAGGTACCTTTTTGTTGGCCTCATTCGAGTGCCTTATCTGAATCTTTATATAACTTTAAAAGATGCCTTAATTCAACACAAGTTAAAAGTTAAATGATGTTTTAATTCATTCGATGAGTTCCCTGTTTTCAGGAAGTGGATGTTTCATTGTTTCAATTGTCTTTTAAAAAATGACAGGAAATTGTAAACTGAAAACCAGTCCTACGCAGTTATATGGCCTTCGAACAAACGTTGTTTTCTTTTTCTATTCGAGCTAACGGTCAATAAATTTCCCTCGGTTTAATATTCTTACGCGCACTTGACGGTCCCAAAAAGGAGAAAATGGAGGGTCTGTGATCAGGCTACACTTCTAAGTATATTGGTTGTCATAACTACCTGAATCCAGTCTCCCAAGTGTTTATTTCCTCAAAAAAGAGATACGTTTCTGTATTGTGTTTTCTAATTTTGGCAGTGAGTGTACGTGCCGAGCATGTCATAACATATCATATTATAACGGCCGGTTGACCACAGGCAATGTTTCGCCTCAGAACTCACAGTGGCATATCCCTCGAGCTCCAACACTACTTGACTTCATAGACGTCTCAGCCGATCCACAATATCCGTTATCTCCGATAAGTTACCTAAGAAAGGTGTTAAGGTCGGTTATTAAGAAGGCAGGTGAAACACACCCACGTCACTGTTGCCAACGACATCAGTCTGCTGATCTAAGAGGAAGTCGATAATTTTAGTAAACCCACGCTTTTGAAAAGTTATGTGGTTTTAAAAGATCTCGGCTAAATGCGTCATTTAAATACCAGATGTGAAGTGCATTTCCTGTTACCAAGTATATGAGAGTAACCAAAGCGTCAGGCAGGCTCTGTGTTCCAAACCACAGATGTGAATTAAGTAAAATTGTCTCCATTCCGGCGGCCCTAGTCACACTTGTGTGGCAATTACTTTCGAAAAATTCCTGTTTTGAATTCCTGATTAATTATTTAAGGCTACCGCTACATGGCCTTCTAATCCAAGGCAGGAGCCGTTTTGCTTTCCGCATAAGAGATTGTCAGTGTTGTTATTGTTTGTTTTGGTCCCACTATCAACTGGGAATGGCTATGGCCGCCTGAGGAAAAATTGGATTAATTTAAGTTTCTGGGAAACGTCCCACCTACCCCTCCCCTAAGCCAACATTAACATGTTGCTTAGGGCAAAATGTTGGTTTAGGGGAGGGGTGGGTGGGAAAAAATTATGTATAGGTAGCCGTAGCGTAGTAGTAGGGATAGAACCTCGTGATGTTACAAGTCTTTGTTAGTTCTACATTTTTAAAAGGAAAAAACTCTTGGAAATTGTATCAGTAATTTAGATTTAAAAAAATTTAGCTTAAAAGACAGTTTTATTTTTCCCAATGTTTTTTGACGGTATTGAATCCTTAACTCCCAATTTCAATTTATTTTCGTACTTGTCAAATTCAGATCATGTACATACAAAAACGGTGCTAACATAGCACAACCACAAATATTAAGACGGAATCCGCCATGAAATTGAGTAATTTTAATTTTCATTGGACAAAAATCTTGTACCAGAATAATTTAAAATATATATTGCATTCCTTTTGTACATTTTTCAAGACTTTTAACACCAAAGAAAATGAAACCCCGCGAAAATGAATGTCAGATTTCACAAAATTACATCTTTCACGTGAAATTTTCAGAGATTTACTGCGTTTTCACAATTTTTGTGAAATTTGACATTCATTTCCTCGGACTGCCATGAGAAATTTTCTTTGGTGTCATTACCGATGACTAATTACATCTTTAGGCCTTAAAAAATGTACAAAAGAATGCAATATTCTTTAAATTATTCTGGTACAAGTTTTTTGTCCACTGAGAATAATTACTCAATTTCCTGGTGTATTCCGTCTTAAAATGTGACTTCCTTTGTTTTGATCACCTGACTCAGTGTTGTTATCTAACTGAATGCGATTTTCATTTCAAAACGGGCGAAAACAATGGTCCCAGAATGGAAATACTGTATCTCATTTTCTACCATTTTTTATAAAATAACTAAGATAGTACGCGCGTTCTGATTGGTTAAAAACCTATGGTTTATTGTGCCGGTAAACTCATAGGAAACTTATTTTCCACTTGGGATGTTGGGAAAACACTCAGAAGAGCTTGTTAATCACTCGCCTTCGGCTCGTTATTTACAAGCTTTTCTCGTGTTCTCCCAACATCCTGCGTGAGTTATCACGCCGGTAAACCCATAGAAAGTGTGCTCCGGTGTGGTCTATTGCTTAAATAATCAGTAAAATAACTTGAGATATTGGTCCTCGACTTTCCCGCCGTTCAAAATAGCGGTCCTTCTGTAAGGAGAATTTGTTACGTAATTTATGACGAGAGTATGTTTTGCAGTCCTCAGGCGAACACTCTCTCTCTCCTCCTCAGAGGTCTATTTGCGTCCTAGGGAGGCTGGGGAGAGGGAGGAAATGCGCGGACGAGAGAGAGGCGAAACCACTGGGACTCCAAGCACCGGATGCAAAGGACTTCTCTACTTACCAATGACCCCATCCTGAGTATCAACAGTGATAGATGCATTAGCTACATATGTAAAAAAAAAAGTCTTTTTTTTTTTCATCGGAGGTTAGGTAACTTACAGTATATTTCTTAGACGCGCATCGTGCATCCTTTTTCTAAAAAATCTTGCGTGAGTTAAGGCCAAAAAGAGTACAATACAGGTTCCGATAAACGTTTTCGTTCGCTCAAAACGCTCAAAAGCGAGAGCCACTAAAACGTTTTAAACCATTAAAAAGGCTAGGCCAGTGTCTGTATGCTAAGCTTGTCTTTTAATGAATGATAGAGGTATTTGTGGCAGTGAAACAAATCAATGCAGACAGATCGATTCCTTTAGTAAGATTATGACGCCCCGGCGCCATTCAAGTGTAATCAGTCTTGAAGTCGTCGCTGAATTTTTGCTGTATCAAATTTTAAAAAGCTTTTTTTATCAATTTACAATTCAGTTTATGAGTGTACATAGTTGTTGCTGGGTGGGTATGATTTCAGTTTAAGTTATTCCCATGATCAAATGGCTTCTACGATTTTCCTAAATATAAGATACCGTGAAAGGGACGGGCGAGGGAATTGATGCCCTGACTTAGTCACTAAAAGTCACTAGAATTTGTTGTGAACGACGTCTCTTTCCTTGGCTTTAACAAGCTTGAGTTCAGTCAGATTACTAAACCGATCTTTCTTACCCACTAACAAAGCCTCTTTCATTCTCATAAGTCATTAGTGAATATAGCTTAATGAACACTTGAACCAATTAGCAGCTCTTTCATATTTCGCACCTCGGTTCAATTGCAACCCTCCAAGTGACGTATACTCTTTCTATGGCTTTGTCTTCAATTAAACCAATCAGACGTTTTACTGCGAAACCTACGTGTCTTTACATGCAAAGGACGAAGTCAGTATGCAGTTGTTATGAATTGCTGACACGCTTAGTGTGTGCTGTATCTCGATTCTCATTTTTTTAGGTACTCAGAATTGAAATGCCTTTATCCAAACGCCGTAGCAGATCCGAAATGTCCTTGGACTTTCTCCAAGATTTCGGGACGCCAGATAAAGAAGATAAAGATTCCACTGACCATGCTGACGAACAAAATAAAAACGTCAGCAACAAGCAAGCCTCTAGCAAATCAGAACCGCCACAAATTTTCATCGAGAATACGCCTTTAAACGATGTTGACGATGACGATGGAAACTTACCCAAAATTCACCGCGCAGTATCGGAAGGAAATTTGGAACTTCTCAAAGAGCTTGTTGAGAGCGGTGATGCAGATGTAAATACTCCTGATGCCGATGGATGGCCACCGCTGTACACTGCTATCAGGAAAGGAAAGCTTGAATGTGCTTCATATCTGCTGAAGAGAGGAGCTTCCGATTTTTATGACAGACAGTACGAAGAATACCAAAGAAGGTTGGCGCTGTCTAGGACGAGAACCCATTCTTTGAAGTGACAAATCTTTACCGGAGTCCAAGTTGAGTATATTTACAACCATAGAGGATTCAGACACGGATAGAAGCGAAATTGAGAGAAAATCTTTCAGTATTTGGCGTTTTATTTGTTACCTCCAGCTTGAAAATGAAGGCTTACAGTTACACTCAAAGCCTTTTTATTCAGTTAGTTATTATTTACTGGGCCTTACTATATATCGGACACTCCAAACACTTTATTATGGTAGTGAGAAAATTGCTTTTTGTTGTTTAAATCGCCAGACGTCGGTGGTTATTCCAGGAGCTGACTGTTTCAGCACGTAATCCACTACACAGTAGATCTGTGTCCCTGCAAAGTTCGCGGGCGAGAAGAGAACATGTGTCACCCTTGTAAAGTCTACAAACATATGCTTTGACATTTGCGAATTCTTTTTGTCTCTTCGCCTCGGTGCTAATCTGGATTAGCATTAACAGGTTGCCGTCATAACGTACAGCACTACACCGAAGCTGAAAAACAAAAACAAACTAAAACTAAAATACAAACAAAACATTACTGGATTAATTCGCATGCGGACTAGTAATGGCGCAGCCACACTATTCTTCAGCTCAGCTGATAATTCGGGCGAAAACTACGCTCCCCAAATAGAACTCTCTACGCTGCAGTGAGCCTCTTATTAAAGCGCATCTCTATTATATATTTTTTATTGAAATCCATAATTTCATGTTCGCCGAAGCTGGCGAAAGGGAGTACTTTAATTTTGACTTGTTATAGACAGCCCAAACCGAACACCTTTGTTTGAAACAGCAGCTGACATTACTTAAGTGATGAGGTATCTTATAGTTTTAAGGGTGGCATAAACTGCTTTTTACAATTTTTATAGTTATCTGTTCATTATTTATTTTCATTTCTAAATATAATTATCTTTACATGTAAATATATATCCCATGTAAAAACAAAAACACCCGCCATTTCTGTGAATGTCTATTGTTTCCAAGCGGCTGAGGGAATCTTTTAATCCCTCAGTGCTTCTAAAGTAATTAAAACTTCCGGAAATACAATGAAGCCAAAAAATATCCTTTATGATGTAACTTGAATACTCTCCGTTTGTGCGTTATAGCTTTTTTAAATGTGTTTGGTTTACGGTGCGCCTCAGCAAATTAATTATGGGTTTGCTTAATCTGCCTATTGCAATGAGTCACATTGTTAATATGACAGCAATAATAGCCAGCCAAATTATATACAACTAATCTTTTTTCCATATGTATCTTGACGTTTTTCTCGTGAGAAAGAGTCGACTTTATAGTGTCTAAGGCTCAGTGTATCTAGTCAAGTGATTAGAATGACTTTACTTGAACCGTGAAATAGGTAGTAGAATACTACGCACTATTATGCACTAATTTTATTGTCTTCTTTCGTTTATTTGTGGCCATGCTATTTTGCACTACAGTCGAACCTCCGGTAAGCGACCACCCAAGATGCGAAGACTTAGGCCTGGTTCAGACGCCGTACTTTTCATGTGCCGAACCTAACTGAATAAGTTCGACTTTGGAGCGACACTGGCGCTACATCGGATTCAGACGGCGTACCGTGTGTCGCACCTAAGTTAAGTTCGACAAAAGTTGGACAGACTCTGTCGAACTTAACGCTTTTGCCGCACCAAACCAAAACTGCCGTACCAAATCGCCGTTCTGTTGCCGTACTTAATTCATCAGTTAGGTTCGGCACATGAGTGGAGCGGCGTCTGAACTTGGCCTTAGTGGTCGCTTACGAGAATCAAACTACAGGGGGTTTCTTCCGAGTAGAAGTCCGGACACATCTACTTTAAGGAAGAGAATTTTCAAGTTACGATATGTGCAGTTCCATGTTGTTACTAAAGTTCTTGGTATATTCTCAGTAGGATAGTGCAGACAGAGACCATAAGAGATCACAAAACTCCTCAAGTCGTCGCTTCAAGAGGTTTTAAAGAAACAATAGAAAAGCATTAAACCGTCAGCCCCAAATAGTGGTCGCGGTCGCTTAATTACAGGAGGTGGTCGTTTACGACAGGTTTCAACTGTAAGACTTAAACTGGGGAAGTTTTGGTGTTTTGGATGGGTGGTCGCTTATGGGAGGTGGTCGCTTACTAGAGGTTCCAACTGTAGGGCTTGGACTAGGGAAGTTTTGGTGTTTTGGATAGGTGGTCGCTTACAAGAGGTAAAATCGTCACGTAGCTAGAGCTTGCAAGTGTGACGTTTAAAGAATAAAACAAAAATAATAAATTTATAACTGAATACCAAAAGAGGTTGCTCTTGGTTTTACTTTTGTTTTACATGAACATAAACGTCGTGATATTGATTACGATTAACTAGTAACCATACTTATAGTCATGTAGACTCCAAAACAGTCGTTTTTTTTCTCAAAATCAGTAAAGAAATCGGTAAAGCTGAGCGCAAGAGTCTTAGGCGCGCAAAGCGAGCGAGCCTCACACGCCCTACGGGCGTGTGAGGCGAGAGGGAAAAAAAACAGTCTCACTCTCTGTTTTCAGCCTCGTTCCAGACCTTTTATTTGACTTCTGCGCGCGTACTTGAATACGCTAAAATACGGACTGTTTTGCAGTCTTTAGTCATGAAGATAAGAACGTTAAAGCTTATGATTGTTTTGGGATCAGTTTTTGTTTGGTTAAGTGTTATTGTAATGGACGTTTGTTTCTTTAGCCAGCTAAAATGTATTTCAAATCTGAAAAGATTCGAGGCGTCCATAATTTTTTCCCTGAAGCGACTTTCATTTCAAGAGGCATCGGTCACAGATTCTGAAGAAAACGTTCTCGACTTGCCAAGGGGACTAAATCACCATGTATGGATAAACACTTGTATGGAGACGATTGAAAAACTTTGCAACTTTCCAGTTTTTCCGATGGCGCCAGATGAGAGGAAAGTGACATTTCGAACAGAGTTTGCTGGTGCAACAGAGCATTCTGGATTTGATGGCCATCGCCTATTTGGTTTCGTGATTCCAAATGCAACTAGCGAATATCATTTCGCCGTGGCATCGAAAGGATTTGCTGAAGTTTGGTTGAGTTCGAACAGCAGATGGAGAGTGGCGAGAAAAATTGCCCACATCACTCCTTTTGATGCGTACTCTGCAGCAACAACTTGGCATTTTAATGTCTCCATAACACAGATCTCAGCAGCAATTCATCTAAAAGCCAGAAGACGATACTATATAGAGATATTGCATACTAATAGCGCTGAGAGGAATCTCGATAATTTTCTTCGTGTTGCTTGGAAACGCTCACAAGATTCTGACTTCGAAACAATTGATGGGAGATCTTTATCTTTATACACGGAAGACGAGGAAACAGGAATATACAAAATATTCGACGATGAACTGCCAGGTGCTGTTGCTTGTGAGACAAAAAATGAAAAAGGCCATGCAAATAGATATATGAGGGCAGAAACGCTTCACTATCTTGAGCACTCAGAAGTTGAGGGTATATTGGACTATTGTGAGTACAAGCCCAGCTATGCCATCGATCGTGCCAACGTGCAGAATTTTCGACGGTACGATGGAGTGCAAGAGCATGTCCGCAGAATGTACAGTTTTCCTTTTCCGATTGTTGATGGTATTATAAGACAGAAAACATCCAAGGTGTCTTTTCACGCTGAATATCCTTTAGAAGTGAACGAGGCTTGGCTAATAGTGTACAAATACATGGACGCCCTTCGACAAAGATCTTCTGGGTAAGTGATATTGATCAGTATTATATCAATATATGAGCAACGTATTTAGAAAGCACCACTATCTTAACAGCCCAAAGGTGCCTTACAAAGACAATAAAAATCACAAACAAGATAGAAAATGTAATTTGTTATGGCATATAGTGAAGAAAATAATATCAAACCGCCACTTGAAGGAGGATCTTGACCCTGGAGTTTTGCGGTGATTAGCCGAAGCAGCGCCGGCGAAGTCTTTATTTGTCTTTATTGGTATTCATTGAGCCTACATATTAGGTGTGTTTGAAGGCGCCAGATCGTTGAGTGCTTTGTAAAAGTTGAGTAGTTCTGTGACGATGTCAAGGTAGTTTAAGGGCATGTTTACACGGAGGTGGGGGACCCCAGGAAGGTGAGGTAACCCGCTTAGGTGGCCGGGTAACCCGCCTGTCCATATAATCTCTAATTTTAATGTGATCACGTTTACATGTTAGGCGGGGTGACCCGCCACATGTCACCTCACCTACCTGGGGTCCCTTACCTCCATGTAAACAGGCCCTAAGAAAGATCAATGAAGTTTTAACAGAATGGACCTGTTCAGGGTTGCTTTATAGCGTTGTGAGGCGGTGGGATAGAGGTTTCATGGCCTGAGCAATCTCCTGCTCCAAGATTCCATGTGTAGCCCCTTACCCTTTTCCTATTTTCTTCCATTTAAAAATTTTTTCTTCTCCTGTCACGCACCTACTAAAGAAAACAGCGTCCCTAAAAATAAGCTGAAAAGAAAGTGCGACTGACTTTGCTCTATCAGCAACTAGAACTTTTGAAACAGGACTGAAGGGAACTGGAACGGGTTAACTTTTGCAAAGACTTCTGGGACTGTTAATAGGGATGGAGGAAAAAAAACATTGGCCAATAGGGACCTAACGATCCGACATCGGTGACGTCCTTGAAAACGTTGTTAAAAAACAGACTTCGCATCCTTTCAAATGTTTTCGCGATTATGCCAAGTTGCCCAGATACTTAAAAAAGGGATATTATGTTGGAGGTGAAGTGTAGCAAACCCGTTCGAGTTCGAGCAAGGATCGATGGTAGAATTTATCCCCTTGCCGTTCCTGTTCTGAAGTAAACTTAGAATTTGGCCATTTCACGTCGTACGTAGTTCTACAGGAACGAAAAAGAAATTTACAAGAAAGCTAGCCTGGGACCAAGCTCAGCAGTTGGGGGGGGGGAAAGACCAAAAAACAAAAATAGAAAAAAAGACCTCTCGGCTCGCTTCGCTCGACGATTTTTTTTTTTTTTTTGCCCAATGCGGAGCCTGGTCCCAGGCTACAAAAAAGCGTGAAAAAAAAAAGCGTTGTTGTTTTACTCATTAAAACTATCACGGCTGTTTTGACGGTGCCGTTGCCATGGTTGCCATGGCTCTAGTTCCTGAATGTAGAAATAACGACATCGTCTTCAATGTTGGACGTAAAAAGCAACGTTCTCGATTTGTGTACTTGTGCTGAATGCATTGTCACTTATTAAATAAAATCAATTTTTTCCGTTGTGTTTCTTTAAATTATAACAAAATTAACATTCGTTTTTATACCCGTAACTGAGAAAAATATTTCAAGCCTATCTTCGTTGTTATGGAAACATATTTCTTCCCAGTTAGTAATACAGAAGAGCAAAAACATAGCTTGATATAAAATTCGATTAAAATGACGAGCCGTGTGACAGTTCTATCAACGCAGTAGTGTTTTTTATGTAGGTCGAAGAAAACTCATAGTTGAAATCGTCTTCCGGTCGTTCGTAAAAAAGGAATCAGTAAAATAAATATCAATATTTCTTGCTGTTTCGCTGGCGCCCTTGTTGGGTATAAGATGAATACAGCCCCCTTAGCGTTTCTTGGTGTTTCGGAAGAATGCAATCACACCTCAACACAAAAAGGAACAAACAATGTTTTCCGCATTAGCACCAAGAAACAACCACCTGAGCGCCACTGAGGAGTGCCGTTGTCTACCTGCCATTAATTCACAAGCCATTTCATATCCAACGAGGGACCGCTCGTGAAAGAATTGCCAAATGTATGCTTTATTACGGAGGTCAAAAGTATTTATTGTAGTCAGAATTCTTTCCCTTAATTTATTTTTCATTATTATTATTTTTTTGCATTCATTATCTTAAATAGAGCCCCTCTGTAAACTTTCATTTTTAGAATTTTACAATATAAAATTAAGAAATTTTGAGTGGAAATAGACGGATGAAAGTAGTAATACTTCACTATTACTTGAACTTGCGGTGTTGTCAAATGTGAAGTCTTCAGAGTTTATTCGGCAAGAAAACAGCTGATACAACCATAGTTACTCGGTGCGGGTTGATAAGCATCGATTGATAAATAATTATAGGTTTCTGCTACGTGAGTTTAATGCAACAACGCCATCTAATTGATGTTCAAGAATATCGTTGGAGAAGGATCGTTTTATCTTGCGCGGTTTGTCCGGGGTGAGAGCTGACCGATACCTGCATGGTAGAAGGTTAAAATTCCGGTATTTTAGGGGCATGGCCACAGGTCAAAATGAAACACTGTGTTAAGAAATTCTCAGTACCTTCATCCTAGCGTCACTGGTGATCAATTCATTTTTACCGCCAGGTTTTAATTATAAGCTGACTTGGGTTTTTGCAAGACAGGCAAATACGTCCGTTATTTATTGTTATGAATCTTCAAAGAATTAAGTGGGGCTTGTTCATGTTTACAATCTTCATCTCTTTTCTCGTGTTCTCTGCTCACTTTTGTCTGTTTGGTCGGCGACAATGTTTGATGTTTCCGAGAATAACAACGGAATCGTCAAAGCTGTTAAACACATATTCAACATCAATATCGTCAGAATATCCCACGGAACACGAGGAAGATTTCCTTGTGATTCCAGGCTTAAACCAGCATATATGGGAAAGCAACTGCTTGAACAACATAGAAACACTCTGTAATTTTCCAGTTTTTCCGAATGCGCCAGACAAGAGAAATGTTATACTAAGCACTGAAATTCTGACCGAATCTTATAGAGCCGCCCACGATGGTCAGCGATTATTTGGCTACCTCCTTCCAAATTTAACTGGTGAATATTATTTCGCTGTGTCTACAAATGGCTACGCGGAAATTTGGCTCAGCTCAAGCAAAAATTGGATGGAAGCGAAAGAAATACTGTTCTTGAGGCCATTTGACTTACAGTTACCACTTGGACGGTGGGATTTCAATGCATCGAAGAGGCAGATCTCCGGAGGAATTCGTTTGCAAGCAAAGAGGAGATATTATTTAGAAATCGTCTACGCACCCGGTTCACCGAATAATGTTGACAACAACTTTATTCAAGTTGCTTGGAAAAGACCGCGACAATCTATTTTCGAGATTATTGAAAGCAATTTTTTATCGTTGTATAAGAATGACAGCGAGAAATGGCAGCTTTATTTGTACGACGATGAAATGCCGGAGGCTCTCCCATGTAGGGCGAAGAAGCAGAGTAGCTACAGAAACAAGTACATGAGACTGGAGAGTTTTCCCTACTTAAAGCATCAAAACGTGCAGAGGACTTTGAATTATTGCAGTTATAGGCCTAGTTATCTTGTTAACCGCGCGGAATTGTCGTGGTTTAGTCAGTATGACGGAGTCTATAAGTATACCCGGAGGACCCACAGTTATCGGTTTCCTAATGTTGAGGGTATCACCAGAAATCCTGAGGCTCAACAGGCGTTTATAGCCGAGTATCCATTAGATAAAAATGAGGTTTGGTTCATAGTTAAACGGTACATGACGGCCCTTAGGAAGGCCTATAAAGGGTAAGTGACAACAATCTCTGAACCTAGATGTCATTCGTTTGTTTATTCGCCCAGGCCTCGAAACCAAGTCGGACTTTTAATTTGAATCAAAATCGGCCTATTCAATCTAGAATCTGACTCGGAGAATGAATCTATTGATGGGTTTCTTTTATGGTCCAGGGCCCATTCTGGTAGCTCGAAGGCTATGTTTCCCAGACCGCAGCACACATCCCTCCAACGCCATGATACCAGCTATCGTTTGTTCTTTGATTAGCCTGAAAAAACAGCCGACATGACGATATGATGACGTCATTTCCCAGATCTGGGTAGTGATGCGTCATCAGTATGGATTTTCTGCGTTCGTTTTTCAGACGTCATTTCGCGCATTTCAGTCCTGGTGGCGACGCGAAATGTTGACTGTTTTCTCCGGTTATCATTTTTTCTTTGATCAATTTTTTGAAATTGAAGAGCAGAGAAAAAAGTGCAAAAACAACTCCGGAGGATGTTCGCCAGATACTACCCCTTAAAATTTAAAGATCACACAGTGTTTTTCTTTCTAAACGCCATTTTTGCTTTTCAGAAAATATGAACTCGAGTCTATAAAGCACGTTGAGAAGAAAGAAGACCCTGGGAAAGGAGGAAGATACTTTCTAGAACTTGTTGTTAAAGATCTTACCGACGGAAAAAGATATATCTTAGCAGAATATGTCTTTCAACCGAATGGGAGGAATATTCCATTGTGTTACCCTGAGGGGCTACAGTGGAACAGAACAGCAGATGTTTACCTGATTCTCACGGCCAAGTACCTGGGTCGGTGGATTCATCATTTTATAAAGAACGTTGAAAAGATTTTTCAGGAAACCAAAGATGAGCATTTACACGTGGTTATATACGACTTTGACAGCCCCGATATCAATTTAAAGCAAGCTTTCGAAAGAACTACCCTAAAGAATTACCGTTATATTATTAGGCCTGGAAAGTATTCGCGCACGCTTTCATATAGTGAAGCTATTGAATCCATAAAGGATCCAAACGCCATCGTTGTCACAGTAGATCTACACCTTGATATTGGAAGCCAGTTTATTAACGACGTACGCAAGGTGAGAATAAGTGAAATGAATATGTGCTTGGACCTGGGACCCGTTTCTCGAAAGTCCCGGTAACTTTTAAGGCCCGAAAAACTGTTTATGTTGGCTGCGTTTGCATTCGAGATCAAAGCTTCTATAATTTTGAAAATGATACAATGAAATTATCAGCTAACGAAGCACAAACCATTGGTTTGTGCGCCAGGAACTGTGCATCAATTTATGTTGCTGGGTAACCGAGCCCGGTTAATCAGACAGGACCCGATGCCTTCTAAACGTGCTCGGTATCAATCGTGTCCCCGATAAAGGCCCGGTAACTTTTCGGGCCCGAAGGCAAACTTTAAACTCAAAACCTGTTGCATTGATCCCCTCTATTCGAGAAACGGGCTCCTGACCTGTTATATAAGCTATAGGGAGTTTAAGCAACGACGACGGCGACGGCAACGAGAACGGCAGAAACGCAATAAGTGTAGATTAGCAAAACAACAACTTTGCACTTGCATCACGCTTTTTTGTACACTTCCTTGCCGTCGCTGCACGACTACAACGTGAAAGTGCCTAATTTCATGTTTTGTTGAGGACGTGAACACGAGACAACGACTTTCTTTTCCTTTGCTGAACTTTGGTACAGTCTCTTAGAATTCATCTCCAGCAGGAAAAAAGAGATTGCCAACATCTGACGAACTGAAAGAGTTGGAATAAGCGCAATAATGTTTGAAGTAGCGCGAATTCATTTTTTGAGTACCGTTTCCGTAGCCGTCGCCCTTGTTATTGCTTAAGCTTCCTATTTTACTCACAGACTGGGGTTGTTCCGGGTTGGTCAGCGTCCCAAACGATTCACCAGTTTAGTAGGTGTTCTAGTAAGACAGAGCCCCCCCGCCTTCACATTACCTCAGGGCCTGAATCAACCACTGCTGATTAATGGGTGATAAATAGGCGATATAGTAAGCCAGAGGTACCTCTCATAAATAAGGCAAGTCAACTAAGACTCCACGGGTCCAGTTTTTCATTTTATAGCATGTTTGTTCTAGAGAGAGGTAAAGCCATGAAGATTCCAGGGGCGGATCTAGGGAGGGGGCAGGGGGTGCGCAGCCCCCCCCCCCCCCCCCCCCCCCCCCCCCCCCCCCCCCCCCCCCCCCCCCCCCCCCCACAGTGTGTATAAATGGGGTAAAAAAAGGGGAAATAGAAGCAACGAGGCCCCCTTATAAAAAAGGAAAGACAACAAAAAACCCCCGGGGCCCATTTTTTTATTTTTGAGGGTTTTTGTTTAGGAGGGAGGAAAACCCATAAGAAATCCGGGGGGGGACTAGGGGGGGGGCAGGGGGGGGCCCGCCCCCCCCCCCCCCCCCCCCCCACACACACACACTCCCCGCTGAGATAACCCTGAGATAACCTGCAGCTATCTAATACAACTAGTATTCTGCAGAAAAAAGAAAACTTTGTGGTTTATTGGTGTTGAAGTAAAACATGAGACGAGGTTGAAGAATTTATGTTAAACGCCGTAAAGTGGTATTTAAAATGGTCGCTCCTTAGTGGTGCAACCCCCGGCCCTCCTGAGAACAATCCTAGACCCGCCTCAGGATTCCACTTATTTCAAGCCTGAAATTTTCCAAGGGTGACTGCAACCTCGTCCCCAGGGCTTTTCCCTTAAAAAATGGTTCGGGCGGGAAAAGGCCCTGGCATCGGCTGGTCACGTGCACAGCCTAAATATTCCTGAAAAGCTAATTTATATGCAACCCGCTGGTTTTGCGCTGACGGAAGTCGATAATAATGAAAAAAACTAACATCGCGAACTATGTCAATATTTTCGCGTGTGTGCGATTCAAGAGCTTAAAATCCATTTAATTGCGCATTATTCAAATGCTGCAAGTTTATGAAAAGGCCTACCGGCTCTACGTTGTCACGTACAAAATATGTCAAATGCTTCAGAGTTAAGACAAGCTGTTATCGACTACAGTGTAGTACTTTGACTGAACTTCAACGTGACTGTGGAATTACAGTACGATCAAGCGGAAAGTGATTTTGTCCAATGTCAAACAAAAATACGGGCCTTTACCTCTAGGATTGAACTTGATTGAAATAGAATTGTTCGTCAAAATGCTTTATGGAGTCTGGTCTTCATTACAACCCGACCATAAACAAACAAATCTCCACACCGGATGCAAGTCAGCCCTCCAGCCAGGAACGATAACAGGTCGCCTTTCTGAAACATTTGAAGACCTCTGATATCTTCTCTCTTCCGAGGATAAGTACAAAGGATTTTCCTTGTATCAAAGGGAAGATTGGCTGATCGATTGGAATCAACTACAGCTCTGTCAGTTTTAAATGGACCCAAGTCTTTCTTTGTTGCCAGTCGTTTGATCGCAGATAGAGGTCAATGAATTTTTTAAAAATACAGGTCATAAGTCTAAACCAACGCGTGTCGCTATGATATGGCTGAGAGTTAAGGTGAATAGAACTAGGCTGTGTTCGGCGGCCCACTTCGCAAGAAATGAAATAAAATATCACAAGAGTCGAGAAAGCGGGCTTTTCCAGTACATACTTTATGTATGTTCGATAGCTTGTTTGTCATTTATACCGCTCTATAAACAGAGGTTTTACAAATGTTACTCGCTGCCCCCTTCATAGAATCGAAGAAAAGCAAAAACTTACCGTGGCCAGTATCTGTGACGAAAAGGAAATCTTGTAAAACCTTTCGTTAATCATCAAGAGATATAAAAGGCCGCCCAAGATCGCGCGGTGTGAGGTCACGCATAATTTTAACTTTTCACATAGCGCTAATTTATTACACCAAGGATTTGGGGGTGTACGAGGGGACACGTGACCAGCCGATGCCAGGGCCTTTCCCGCCCTACCCATTTTTTAAGGGAAAAGCCCTGGGGACGAGGTTGGGGTGACTGACATGTTTTCCTTTACTTCCCAGCACTGTGCGAAAGGAAAAACAATTTACGCTCCCCAGATCGTTTTTCTACAATGCGGTGGAAGCAGCGCTTTGCCTAAGGGTGTCTGGTATCACTATAGCTATGGAACAATAGCAATGTATAAACAGGACTGGGACAACTTTGGGGGATTTTCAAAGGAAATTCTCGGCAAGGAAACATGGGGCGGCGAGGACTGGGACATAATCGACGGCGCCGTCAAGGGTGGACTGGAAATAGAACGAAAACGATCTCCGTGGATTTACCATTACTATCACACTAAAGTGGGAATGTGGTAACAAGCAACTTGAACCTTACACTCTCTGCGTACTAAACAATGACCTTTGCATGGATAAGTCACCGGATTTTTTAAAGTCTCATACGAGAAAGAAATCCATGCAACTTTTTGGTGTACTGGATGTCACCATGTACTGACTCAAAGTGCGTATTCAGTAAAGTATACATTGCGCAGTTACACTCGTCGTTGGCTTTGAAATAAAGTTGAGCAGCTTGAATTAATTACTAATTACTTTTTTACGGTTTGTACGGAGTCTAATGAGTTGTGGGGGTAGCTTTGCTCCGGAGATCCTTTTTTGTAACTCGAGCCCTGATCAAAATCCCGTGTAATAATTCTTTCGTGCTTAAGGTAAATGATGCTTCAGAAATCCAAGTACTGAATGAAATAGATAGACTAAGTACCAAGGGTAAGCAAAGCCTTCGAAAGGTATTTGTTTTGGAAGAAGAGTCACGAGCCTCCGAACAAACTGGCGATTGTTTTGAATAAATTATATACGAGGAAATAATAACAGTGTTGTGAATTTGGAAAATACTTTGAATTCAAAATGCTAATCTCGCTGGGTGCTATCCACCTCAAGCCGGCCGTCCAAACGTATCTGTTTTTGTTTGAAAACGGGGATATTATTTCGGATCAAAAGGCCATTTCCGAGTTCCAAAAAATCTCACTTTCAAAGCTATGCTAAGTGCCAAGCCATTGATATGAAAATGATTTTTAATTATGATGCAAATAAAACTCATTTTCAATACAAATGTTTCGCACTTAGCCTCGTTTTGAAAGTGAGATTTTTTTGAACTCGGAAATGGCGTATTTAGGTTTTTGGGAAACTGCCCACCTACCCCTCCCCTTAGCCATCATTTTGCCCTAAGCGAGAGGTAAGTGTTAATATTAGCTTAGGGGAGGGGTAGGTGGGCAGTTTCCTAGAAACCTAAATTGATCCATTTTTTCCTCCAGTTTGGCTTACTGTTCACACGTATTCGGCGAGAACGGTCACTGGAAACGCACCTTCCAAAAATGCTCTCCAGAGTGGAGATTTTTGAAAACGCCGGCTTTTCGTTTCCGTGCAGTGTGGACTAGCGAAAACGGAAATTTTCGAATACGATGATGTCATACACCATATACTTCTAGCATCAGGTTGATGACGCATGCTCAATAAGGTATGCTATCGCGTATTTCCATCTCTTTGCGTTTTCGTGTGGACGGACGAAAACGATTTGAAAACGCTAGGTATGGATACGTATTTTTTTTTAAAAAAAGGGGGGAAAAGATCTCCGTTTTCAAAAATATCTTGTACTTCTGGACGATTCCTCAAAGAGAAGTAGCTTGAGAAAACAGCCGACATTTTGCGTCGCGAAATGTAGGCTCTTTTCTCAAGCGAAGAAAAAAGAGGCGGCACTGGTTTACTACACTATTACCCGCATGTAGCAATATTATAATCGAGGAGTTTATTTATGACAAAAAATTTAATAGACACGAGATATCTATTTATAGACCCAAAGACACCCTGGAGGTTGTAAGAATTATCTTAATTTTACTGATTTTCGAGTGATTAATTTTTGGAAGACCCTGGAGCCGTGTTTCTCAAGTATTAGATGCAGATTTTTTTTTCAATAAAAAAGCGAGAAAATTTGTGGGTGTAAGTTGTTGTTGTTGTTGTTGTTTTTTTTTCACCAGGTGTGGTGTATTTGTAAGCAATGTGCACACTAGATGAATGTGGAGCTACGCTGTTAAAGTAGAATAAACAACAACCATTAAAGTTTGGTTACCTTAAAACACAGAGAGCTGACTGGGTGTTTATAAAAATCAAGAAATGTTAAACATATCATTGGCATTTTTATATTTAAAATCATTGCTGCTTTTATAAGGCAAGAATTAGTAGCCACAGGACCAGGTCGAGACATGTTTAGTGTGACACGCATTTTGGCTGTAGCTAATATTCCCTTAGATTTCCTTAGATGTTTAGTGTTGCCCTAAGTAGATAAAACTAGTAGTTCCATACTGAACTTTATGTATCACTGATAAATAAAGCACCACATTTTATATTCTTAAATTATTAATGCCTCCAACGTATGCAAATGACATTCAGAACACAAATCATAAAGCAAAACAAGAGCAATACAATTACTTCGCCATCTGGGAATACTGCGTTAATGACTGCTAGTAACAATGCTCTAGACAAATACGCATATTTATTTTAACACTGCTTTTCATCGCCACAACAACAAAATGAGAAAGATTGCCGGTGTTGCTAGGAAGGCAAAGATATCATCCTTCCGGCGATTGCTATTAGTTTTCAGTGTTTTCGTTGCAGGTTTCAATGTTGTTTTCTTAATTGCATGGCAACTCAATCGATCATCTCTTCAAAACTGGAAGAAAGGATTTGAATTGACAGATACCAACTTAATTATTACAGAGGATAAAATCAAGCCTGAAAATATTCCGTCCAAGGGTTTGAATCAGCATACGTGGGAAAAAAACTGCCTGATAAGTCTTGAACAACTTTGCAACTTTCCAATCTTTCCCAAGGCACCGGATAAAAGAAGCTTGGCGAAAAATGTTAACATCTCCTTGTCAGCCAGCGAGGTGGATGGCCTGCGGTTGCTGGGCTTTCTTCAACCGAATGTAACTGGCGAGTATCTTTTCTCCGTTACTTCAAATGGATTTGCCGAGGTTTGGTTAAGTTCAAGCCATAACTGGAAAAATGGACGGAAAATTGCATACACCAGACCTATGAATAAATCTGCAATGGGTTTTGCAACAGTGGATCACAAATTTCCTACTAACGGCGTTAAATTGTTTTCAGGACAAAGATACTACATTGAGGTGATATATTCTCGTGGCAGGCAAAGTGAAGGACAAAGTTTAATCCAACTTGCTTGGAAGAGACCAGATAGAACTGGCTTTGAGCTTATACAAAGAGGGTTTTTCTCACCATATAAAAACGACAGTGATAAAGCTCAAATGAAAGTTTACGATGACGACTTGCCAGATCTACTTGCTTGTACACTGGTAACACTAAACAGTAGTAACAAATACATGAAGCCAGAAACACTTCCAACGTTGGAAAGTGTCGACGTGAGCAAGGCATTAAATTTCTGTGAATATAGACCCAGTTATCTCCTTGATCCCACGAAAATAACTAACTTCGGCCGATATCACGGCGTCTACAGACATGCCCACAAAACCTTCACCTTTCCAAACACAGAAGTAGAAGGACTGACTCCCAAGCGGGCCGCCCGCTTTTTGGCTGAAAAGCCTTTGAGTGAAGGAGAAGCTCGCGGGGTGGTTGATAAATACATGACTGCCCTTGAGGAAAGTTACCCAGGGTAAGTAGACTGTTCTTCTAGGGTAAGTTCACCATGCTCGTTATATGGGAACCCCAGCCTCATGCATAAGAAAAACTGGTTTCCCTGTGGTCGACTTAGGGCCCGTTCTGATACCTAACCAGTTTCCCTTTCGTTTCTAAAGTAACGAATTCTCAGGGTCCACAATAGGCTTTTCGGAACCCGGGAATTCCCATATTTGAAGCTCAGGATTCGGAATTTGAAAGCAAAGTCGGGGCGAGTTTAGGGATTCAATGTCTGCTTGGGAGGTTGAATACCAAAAGGAACCCTCGGGATTCGGGATTGCTCGAAATTTTGGATCGGGATCACGGAATTGAAGAACCCTATTGGAGACCCTCAATTATAGAAACAAAGAATTTAAACAAGAGTTTTTAGTTGCTTACAGCCCAACTTTATCATCCTTTTCTCTGTTTTCTTGTATGAACACGAGCCTTTAGGAGAGTTTGCCAACCAAGTGAGAAGGAGCAGTATATTCCGTGGTGACCTTCGACAGACCTCTGACTAAATTTCTAGGCCATATGATAGATAATACTAAGAAAATTAGTTGACTAAATCAGTTTTAAGGAACAGATTTTATGATGAATTTCATTTTATTCTTAATTTAAAAGCTGAGGATTCTTGCGCTAGCCAGTAATTACTAGCTGTATGAGTCGAGCAAAGCGGACTCACCCTCAAAACGTCTTATAGATGAGACTGGTGTCGTTAAAACAAAAAGAAAGATATTTATTTACTTCTGTATGGTATTTTTGATGCAGAAAATACAATCTGGAGTCTATTACGCGCGTAGAGATGAAACATGATCCTCAGAAAGGAGGCAGATACTTTCTTCAACTTGTTGTCAAAGATCTGACGGACAAAAAGAGCTATAACCTCGAGGAATATGTGTTTCAGCCATTCGACAAAAATGGGCATTTGTGTTACCCCATGGGACTGCAGTGGAACAGTACAGCGGATGTCTATCTGATCCTCACGGCCAAGAACCTGGGTCGATGGGTTCACCATTTCATCAAGAACGTTGAAAAGATCATTCGGGAAACAAAAGATGAACATTTACACGTGATTGTTTACGACTATGATAGCCCGGATATTGATTTAAAGCAGGAACTTCAAAGAAGTACATTACAGAACTACAAATACATCACAAAACCTGGAAAATATTCTCGCGTGGAGTCTTTTAGTGAAGCTATACAATCAATTTTGAATCCAGAGGCCATTTTTGTCACCATAGATCTACATCTCGATATTGGAAGTCAGATGGTGAATGATATACGCAAGGTCAGTGAGCACATTGGTTTTAAAATCCTGCATCCTTGAAAGATATTGTAGCCTGAGAAAACAGCTGAAGGCGCAGAAATTCCATACTGATGACGCGCACTACGCAATTCTGTGTACAGCTTCTGATTGGTTGAAAATTTGCTTCATCCAATCAGAGGCACTACCCAGATCTAGGTTGTGACAGGTCATCAGTATGGAATTTTTGCGCTCGTTTCTTATAAGCATTTCGCGGGAAAACCACCGGTGGCGTCCCGGAATGGCGGCTGTTTTCTCAGTCTAAGGATAGTACGGTTGATTCCTTCATACGCAATCTATTTACACATGCAAAGCCTTGAGTTGTACTAAATTAACCAAAAACCTCTCGTCTATCAGTACCTAGACTGTTCACAGTCCCCTATGTTTACGTAAGAACGTCGAGATCGAGCCCTCACTTCTAGTTTCAAATCCACTGATGCAGCGGGCCCCGGGGTTGATAGGGGTAGGGGAAGGGAGTTGAGAAAAATAACCATCCCCCGGCACCTAATTAGATGTCGTGATATATTACCTTTTGGCGACCTTAAAGGGTGTCAAGCCGAAAGTTTATGAGAACTATTAAAACTCTGCGTGTTTAATGTATTTTTTAGTTCGTCAGGTCAGTATATGATTCTGGGAAGCTTCCCACCTACCTCTTCAATTCCCCAATCAAACATTTTGCCCCAAGTGAGAGTTTATTGTTAAATCCAATACCTCGTACGGGAAATTTTTTTCTTTGAACCGCACCCATGTGACAAATTTCTAATTTGCCTTTAGGTTTAGCCCGCCTAGCTGGCGCTTGGAAGTAATAGGCGAGAAAGAATGGGGCTAACGACGGAGACACCCGTTCTTTCGTGCACACATTACTTCCAAGCGCCTGCTATGCAGGCTACTTTGGGGGTTTTCATGGTATTTTCTGATGAGCACCCTGGCGATTTCATAGCGAAGTAGCTAAAGTAATGGTGCGGGGTGATGAGATCGACAAACTATCAACTTTGGAAGTAAGGACTAACGAGCCTTTAGTCAAAGATGCAGTCGCGAGTCGGGGAGGAAAAGTAGACTGAAAGTGTAGAGCACTTAGTAGTCGATAGGCTCTCTGGGGTGACGGAATCTCCTGGTTACAGGTGGCTGAGCGTAGTGAAAATTATGAACGGGCGTTACCAAGTTTCAGTTATCTCAAGCAGGTATGTGAATTCGCAAGAGCCCATCACTTCAGAGCGTCCAACATCGACTTCTTCTCCTGAGTGTCATCGTAGCCCGATAGATTTTAGTTCACCTCTGCGAAATGTTCCGCCTTCTCCTCAACTTACGACATGGAACTTCCTTTTCTGCAAAGGAGCTCTTTGTTCCTCACTTCCACGCACTTCAACCAGTTTAACAGCTCTCAATGACACTTCGTTGATCTCATTTGTCCTTGCTAGAAATCTTTCTGTTCTCTAAGAAGAGTCTAAGAGTTTTTGGTGTAAAAATGAGCCTATGAATAGCCTAAAAAATCTAACACGATATATATGGTCCAAAACATATTTGAGCTAGACTGCGAGCAGTCACATAGTTTTCTTATTGAGGGAACTTGTGCACGAGAGCGGCGAGAAAGCGGAACGCAAGCATTTTTGGGGTAACCACGTCGGTTTGTGAACGTCTTCGCTGAGATAACAACTCAGAAAAAAAGGCGCAATGCAATTAATTTGTATTTGAGAATAATTGCGTAATATGCTACGTTCCATCCAGCTAGTATAAGACTGCACAAAGGCTCTTACTTCCGTGTAGGATTGAGGAGCTGCGCGAAGCCAACTCAAAACTCGAACAAGAGAGCAGCCGCACATTTGTGGCACCTGCTCACAAGTTTGTTTTAGCTATGGCCCCGTCGTGCGCGCGTTCTCTACATTGCGCACAGCACAAAACTGAGAAATGCGCACATAAAAAGACGTTAGGCTGGCAATTATTTTCTTTTTTCATCAACACATGTAAATATTTCTCTGTTTGGTTTTAGCACTGTTTCAAAGGAAAGACGGTTTACGCTCCTCAAATGGTGTTCTTAAGTTGTGGTGGGAGTAGCGCGCTGCCTCAAGGAGACTGGTATCTTATGAGCTATGGCATAGTTGCAATGTATAAACAGGACTGGGATAACTTTGGAGGATTCTCAAAGGATTTTTTCAACAAGAAAACATGGGGTGGAGAGGACTGGGACATAATCGACGGCGCCGTCAAGGGTGGACTGGAAATAGAACGAAAACGATCACCGTGGATTTACCATTACTATCACACTAAAGCGGGAATGTGGAAACAAGCAACTTGAACCTGCAGTTAAAAACTGGACTGAAATACATAAATAAGCTTCAACTAGACTCTAAACAAAAGAAATAACGAAGTAAAAAAGGATAGAGGATTCAAAGGACTCTTTCGAAAAGAAAACGTGGGCGGCGAGGACTGGAACCCAGGACTGGCGATCGACGTCGCTGATGAGAGTGAACTGGAAATAGAAGGAAAACAATGCCCTTGAATCTAAGATTATCACCACAATTAGAGGGGTATGAACTTAGAATATGCAGGACTCTTTCATCTGGCTTATTAAAGGACTGAGTTTGCATAGTACCATTGTTAGAAACTGGTCAAGTTATAATTGGAAAACAGTAGAGTCTATTCATTCTGGATTTGAGTACTAATGGAGTATTGACGGTATTTGTTGAGAAATTCCATGACTTAATTAATGTAAGTCAGGAGGGAGGGGGCTTCTCCTAAGAAATCACTGGCTCAGTTGTTGTTATTATTTGACGTCGAAAGGGCGCGCGGAGTGGATCAAGATACATAATGGAAAAACAAAACAGTCACCTTTCCTTCATTAAGTTGTCATTTCGCGCATTTCATTCAGGCGGGATTTTTTTACGCTTTTCGTACGGGCACGGAAAAAAAGGCAGAAACTGGTAAAAAAGGTTAGTCTGTAAGCCTCACACGCCTGTAGTCAGCCTCGTTGCAGACCTTTTGTTTGACTGCTCGCGCGTACTTGAATACGCAAAAATACAGACTTTTTTGCAGTCTATAAACAATCTAAGGTGTAGATAAGCTGCGAATGAATATCGTCATCTAATGGGCAAGTGTAAACGCATAAGTTTGTGTACGTTTTCCGGACTCTTGAGGACATACATAGCCTGAGCAGTGTAATAAGACAACTGATATAAACTGATGCGTTAAATAGTGTTAGTTTACTTAAGTCATGATGATCAAAACCGAATAAAAGTCTTTCTAATTAACGAAATAAGTGAAAGTCTTGTTCATCGAGTGAGTAATTATCCCGCAGAGGATGATATGTGCATTGCCGAGTGGAGAAATTGTTGGATAGAAAATAAACAATTTCCTGATGGTTTTCATAAAGTTTCTACGCTTTTACTTTCATATCCATGATAATGCAAAGTCTCACATTGACGTGCTTTAAGGCGACTTCAGTTGACCTAAAACTGCTTGAGCTGACTTAAGGCCACTTGAGGTTACTCGAGGTGACTTTAGATGACTTTATTGATAAAGACGACATAAAGTGGCCTAGGGCAACTTCAGGTGACTTAGGGTGACGGGCGACTCAGGGGAATTGGGGCGATTTAGGGCGACTTATGGTGACTAAAGGCGTCTTCAGAAGACTTTAGGCCGAGAATTTACGCACACTATGGGGGCATTCCAGAATGGGAATGAATGGAATCCGTTGTAAAAAATCTTTCCTCCGTAAACTGAAGCGTTTCCCCTAACCATTCGTAACTCATAAAAACGCCCTCGGCAGTAAATACCAACAGTTCATCATGTATAATTAAACAATTCAGTTCCAAATTGTTTGTGAACTTTTGGAGCTTGCTCTAACGTGCTATACAGTTGTCTTTATTAGCTCAATTGGATAGAGCATTAAATCCAGTCATCGCAGACGTTTGGCTTCGAATACCAGTCAGGCTTAATTACTTTTTAGTTTCTTTCCAACCAAATTAGTTTGAGCATTAGTGCGAGCGACACACCCACATCTACTCTGTTTCAAATGCGCAGTTCACATATTTATTTCATTATATTCACAGTTACTCATACGTCTGTGTCGTTTCTTTCGCATTTCTTTCGCTCTGTATCTGCGCAAAAGGTCAAAAGCTGAACTTTATCACCTTTTTCGTAGCCAGAGTAGCAATCGTTTCAGAGGGAGCTCCGCGCGCGAGGGAATCACACGCAAACCCAATTTCGTCCCCACTCTCCCCGCGTTTGTTTTGAACCTGGGACTGTCCCTGGGACTAAACAAAATTTAAAGATGGCGGCCAGCGGGCATGGTTGGATTTTTCTTCATTCTCATCGAGTTTCAAGGTTTGTAGTGATTATTTATATGATATTTTAGCGCTGGTGATTCAACTAAAACATGAACAGTGTCTTGTTGTTTTGATCGCATCGCGAGGTTCGTTTTGGTTCAGTGAAAATGACCTTGAATGGAATGACCTCTTAAATTACTTTCGTTGTTTATTTATTATATTCTTTTTATGAATAACACTAAAAGATAAATAACTTATTAACCGCATCTGTTTGGACATTACAGAGAAATCACAGACCTCAGCCTTGATGTATTACCCTCACTATTGCTTGGTCAATACATCAAGGCCTCGGTCTGAGATTTCCCTGTAATGACCGAACTGACGAGGTTAATAAGTGGTACATAACAATAGTTATGTAATATTATCATAATCATCATAATCATCATCATCATCATTATTATTATTATTATTATTATTATTATTATTATTATTATTATTATTATTATTATTATTATTATTTTAAATATAAAAAGATACTTAGGGGCTTAAAAACATTTATTTAATACATGTTCAAGTAATAAAAGTTAAAAAGTCTAAAAATTATCTAAAAAATACCAACTGAAGATAAATTTACAGAACTTAAACTGTGATGTGTTGCTTTAACAATGATGGCCCTTTAGGCTGGTCTTTGTGGTCTCCGTCCCCCCAACTTAAAATCCCCAATGATCATTCATGATGAAGAATATGGTTATTTCCAATCCATTTCAAGTATTTTCAATGCCACAAGACAGTAATTATCACATGAATAACTTTGTGAACTTCTCAATCAATTGAAATGTCGATTACTCCCAATCAGAAACCACAGAGAGCAATTTTGACAAAGATGCAACACCTCAGCAGATCTATCCAGGCATCAGTTGGGCAACTAAATAAGAGACACCAGTGGATAGCAATGGTGGAGAACTAAGGTAAATTGTAATACATGCACTTAACGTTCTTCTGGTTAAACTCGTTGCTAATTGACACACTTGGTAAACACATACAAAGGCAATGGTTTATATTTGCATAATAACCATAAAAATGAAGGGGGGACATTGGGTGGGGGTGGAGGGGGAGGGGGTGTCAGGAGGCAGAAGAGGAAAGGATGGGAGATTGGAGTTCTAAAAGGGTGGGAAACAGGAGAAAATTATAGAGGTTAATATTATCGTTGCAATCAAATAAGAGCTAAAGGGAGGAAGCCAAAAGAAAAGGGTCAGAAACCAGGATTGCAAGACATGGGAGGCTGGAGGCTTGGACCCCTGTTCCCCCTACCTACAGTGCCAAAATATATAGATATGTGTCTGTGTTGTAGGTTAATTTGTTTCTTAGGTCAGTCTGTTTTCAACCTATAGGTCAATTTGTTCCAGACCAGTTTAATTAGATCTTAAGGTGTATTTGTTATCATCCTACATTAGGCAAATTTGTTGGGAACTACTTGCAGGTTAATTTAATCGATTAATTAATTCTTACAAGTCTTAAAAGGGACCTTTCTTCCTTTTTCTTCCCCTTTTTTTTTCATTTTAAATGATCCATAAAGTCAGTATTTGAGTAATGGGTCAGTATACTGTTAGTAAAGAGACACACATACTTTGGGGTATTAATGTTCTGAACTAAGGAAAGGACTAATGAGAATCAATTTCTTCACAGACTTCATTCCCAGTTCCGACTTCAGCAGCGGATTTAGAGGCTATCTTCAGTACTGTAAGTGCTGTATACTTTCCTTTGTATTCTAACTCTTGAGTGAACCAGGTAGACTTAACTGGGCCAGTGCCTCTTCATAGTTTATTTGTGTTCATTCAGGATAACATGGATAAACTTAGGGGAAAGTTACTTGTAGTTTTTTTTGGTTTTGGTTCAAAAACAAAATTCTTATTTGGTCAGATTTTATTATGACTACTGTGATGCTCAATTTGCTAAATGCCAGGGGCTTGGGTTTCTTTGCTCATTCTTATTCAGGTATAGTAATTAGCAAAGATATTATGATACATTATTAATCCTTAGGGTTGATGTTAATACTTGATCTGCATAAGTTTTCTTTGTCCAAGTGTGCAACAGGTATTAAGCTAAGTCCGGCAAGAAGTGATAAGCTCAGACATGTAATCTACAGTGCACAATGCAATAACTATTATGAGTTATTGCATGATGAAATCAACAGTTTTAAAAGTTAAGGAGTTAGTCAACTGGTTTAATACCAGTACTGATTTCTGAGACTGACTGACTGAATAAATGACTGCCTGCCTGCCTGCCTGACTGACTGCCTGACTGACTGACTGCATGCCTACCTGCCTACCTGACTGAATGACTGAATGAATGACTACCTGATGGCCTGACTGATTGCCTGAGTACCTGGCTGACTGACTGACTGCCTGCCTGCTTACCTGACTGACTGACTGATGGACTGCCTGCCTGCCTGCCTGCCTGCCTGTCTGACTGACTGACTGACTGACTGACTGACTGCCTGGCTGACTGGCTGGCTGCCTGCTTACCTGACTGACTGACTGACTGATGGACTGCTTGCCTGACTGAATAACTGACTGCCTGCTTGACTGACTGGCTGACAGCCTGGCTGACTGACTGACTGGCTGCCTGCTTGACTGACTGGCTGTTTGCTTTCCTTACTGACGGAATGGCTATCTGTCTGCCTATCTGACAAATTGACTGGCTGCCTGACTGACTGACTGCCTGCTTGAGTGACTGACGGACTGACTGACTGATGGACTGCTTGCCTGCCTGTCTGCCTGCCTGTCTGACTGACTGACTGATTGACTGACTGCCTGGCTGACTGGCTGGCTGCCTGCTTACCTGACTAACTGACTGACTGACTGATGGACTGCTTGCCTGACTGAATGACTGACTGCCTGCTTGACTGACTGGCTGACAGCCTGGCTGGCTGACTGACTGACTGGCTGTTTGCTTTCCTTACTGACTGAATGACTGCCTGCCTGCGTATCTGACAAACTGACTGGCTGCCTGACTGACTGCCTGCTTGAGTGACTGACAGACTGACTGACTGATGGACTGCCTGCCTGTCTGCCTGCCTGTCTGACTGACTGACTGATTGACTGACTGCCTGGCTGACTGGCTGGCTCCCTGCTTACCTGACTGATGGGCTGACTGACTGACTGACTGACTGATGGACTGCTTGCCTGACTGAATGACTGACTGCCTGCTTGACTGACTGGCTGACAGCATGGCTGACTGACTGACTGACTGGCTGTTTGCTTTCCTTACTGACTGAATGACTGCCTGCCTGCCTAACTGACAAACTGACTGGCTGCCTGACTGACTGACTGCCTGCTTGAGTGACTGACAGACTGCCTGCCTTTGACTGACTAACAGATTGCCTGACTGACTGACTAACTGACTGTCTGACTGCATGACTGACTGACTGACTGACCGACAGAATAGTCAGAATAAACAGACTGCCTGGCTGACTGACTGGCTGCCTGTCTGCTTGCCTGACTAACTGACTGACTGCCTGTCTAACTGACTGAATCACTGACTGCCTGCCTGCCTGCCTGACTGACTGACTGACTGACTGACAGGCTGCCTGCTTTTCTGATTGACTGACTGACTGACTGGCCAACAGAATAGACAGAATAGACAGTAATCAGCTGACTAAATGTTTGCCTGCAACCTGATATGATCTTTTGTGAAGTTTTGCCTGGGGTGTAAGACATTTGACCACTACCAAGTTTAACTAACCACTGAGACTATATGAAAACAGATTGATTATTAACAGAAACCCACCCCTTATGTGTTTCTGTTATTAACTTATTGACTTGTCAGTGCGCATAACTGACAGTTTTACAAATGCAATTACATGTAATAGTTGTGGCCTTAACATGTAGTTACTAAGTGCTTGGCTCACTCCCAGATGCATTGGTTGGGTGAATCATGACTGACTGACTAATCCAAGGCTGGTTCACAGACTTTCAGTCTGTAACATGCACTGTACTGACTAGCTGGATATATGATCAACAGACTTCCCATTATTTGGTGGCTGGTGTTATGACTAACCCTGATAACTAAATGACTGTGAATGTGTGGCTGACTGACTGACTGAATGACCAACTGACTTGCTGTTTCTGCTCAGTGACAAGCTTACTGACCGCAATTATCTGACCTGCTGTGTCGTTAACTGAGGGACTGACTTGATTACTGATATTTTTATTGGTGGACCAATTGACTGGAAGTACATCTACAGATTGGCCTAGTGACTGGTTAACTGATAGACTGACTGGTTGACTGACTTTAGACAGACTGACATATTGATTAATAATTAACTGATGGACTGACTGGTTGACTGATATTTTCAATTGGTTGAATTAACTGAGAGAAGACAGATTGACCGAACGATGAATGATTAAGTGACGGACTGACCAGATGACTGATAGTTTGAATTGCCGGTTGATCAATTAACTGATAGAAGACAAACTGACGTAGTGTCTGATCCACTAATCATAGACTGACTGGTTGACTGACAATTTAATTATTGGTTGATAAATTAAGGGTGGCAGCACTCTGTTATTTACTGACTGAGAAAAATGGTAGCACTATCAATAGCCCACCTTCAACTGAAAACTGAAAACTGAAAACTGAAAACTTTATTTATACTCGAGGGTCTGGAGCTTATTAGGCTCCTAGCTTAAATAGCTAATGAGTCGAGGTAATCAACAGATTAAAATTCCAACTTGACTCTGATGCTTTTTGGTCATTTTTATATACTTGGTTTAATTTTTTCTTTGTTCTCAAGTCTCTTCTGGGAATTGTGAGACAACTTTGGAGTGGTGAAAAATTTGCAATATTTTCCTTAAAACGTCAGAGTCATGTTAAAATATTTTAATAAATTAGAACATGGGCTAAACTGGTTGACTGAAAAAAGGACACACACTGGGTAAAGGGTAGAGGTATGGCAGCGGCATTCACTCAGAGAAGTTGGTGAGCACTATCAACTGACTTACAGACTGGTTGACTGACAAAAGGACACACACTGGGTAGGGGGTAGGGGTAGGGTGGCAGCACTCATTTATCAACAGAGAAGTTGTTGAGCACTATCAATTGACTTACCAACTGGTTGACTGAGGAAATGACACACACTAGGTAGGGGTAGGGCTAGGCTGGTGGCACTCACTCATTTACTGACTGAGAAATAATTGGTAGCACTCTCAATTGACTGAAAGACTGGTTGGTTTCCCAAAAGGACAGATGACATTCTGTTCACTTACTGAATTAACATCTACCCAAATTTGTTTGGATAACTGTATTACTTTGAATTATGACTAAAGTGAAGTAGATTACATGTCTGAATGGTTACAATTTTCTATAGTATTTGGTGAACTTGTTGAGTGCATTTCAAATATCTCTTGCTCATCCTCAACTCTCCATGAAAAAACAGCTGATTTCCTCAGACCAAAGTCACTTTAGAAATGACTGCATTCCATACTGATAATGCAGTGCTCTTAGCTGTCTGTCAATATTAAACCATATAAACCTTTTTTTTTTTACCTGGCAGTTAAAGACACTTGCTTGAGACTTGCCTTGCTATTTTGTCAGTATAGAGTTTTTAAGTCATTTTATGTCTTGTCGCTGAAGTAACTGCAGTTTTCAGGGTAAACATAAGGACTCATCTTCTGTTTTTGGTCTTTTTTTTTCTGACTCAACAATGCAACTAAATTTGGCAGCCTTAGTTTTGATGTTCAGGGTTTCTGATAAATATTTTTTGAGATGTACTTCTCTTCATACCCCTTTTCCTCCAAAAGGGGTAGTTTTTTTTTCACGATACAAGAAAAACACTGTACTTTGATTTTGATGTACATTGTACTCTATGCTAAAAGAAATTGTTCTTAAAAGTGATAAATAAAATAACAATAGTAATGTTAATGAATCTGTACATTTTAAACATGGACTGTTTCTTATGTGATCATTCAATTTTGTCTTCAGGTCAGATGACAGACTCCAGATCAAGACGTCAACATGGAAAAGATTTAGCGTTTATCTTCAGTACTGTAAGTGCTATAAGTACTTTGTAGTCCAGCTCTTGAGTGAACCAGATAAACAATAAGAATTATGTGACTGACTTGTTCAAAAGACTTATCTAATCCAGGATTGTGCCTGGATTATTTTGCTTTTGTTCAATCACAGCACATGACCTTATGGAGCTAAGTTCTGCAAAGCTATAGTTACAGCAGTTTTACATTATTTTTGTGTGCCAGTTACATTGCAAAGTTAAAACATAATTAATGTCAACAATCCAATTAAAATGATGGCAAACTTTCAAAAGAAGTTCCCAACCACTGTGCCAAAAGCTTTAATTTGCTGAAAGTTTGACTGAGAAGGAAAAGTTTCCAAGGCTTCTGCAATGAAACATCAACTTACTGAAAATATTAGAGTTTGATATTGTCATCAAATTGAGTCACTTAAAAATTTCAACAAAACTTATGGTACATGACTGATTGTAGTGCTGTACGTAATTTTTTAAATAGACTTTAAAAGAAAAAATGACAACAAATGAAGCCAGGCATTGAACTTTATGGTGAGTACTGAAATTAAAAAGCAACAACAACAACTCAAAATTTTAACTCCTCAGCTCAAGAATATGGAGGTTAAGGAAGGTTAATCTGAACCTTCTTTGAAAAAGTCCTTAGTTTGTATAGTTGGTTGGTGCCACATTAAGGAACTTTAGTACAGTGTAACTCAAATCACCCACTGCCTCAATAATAAAATAATGTTTTGTTTTATCCAGCAAAATATGAAACTAAATTTCTTAAAGAGGTGAATGCAGCATTCCACCGAACAATAACTCAATTTTTTTATCATTTTTGGCTGATCAACAAACTCTGGATTCAAAATAATTTTACAGTCCAATATAACAACATCCATATTCATTCTGGATTAAGGTGCAAAATTAAATTTTGTTAGCACTATGGTTGGGATATTATTTTGTTCATAGCTCTCATTTGTACTTGGATGGTTGGCTGCACTCAAAAAAATAACGTGAGACATTTGGAGCAAGAAATCTACAAGCGTATATTTCTTATTGTTTGAAATGTTACAACTTTGCTACATGGCAGTGAAAAGTGATGTAAAACTGACTGTAGTTACGATCAGACATGCAATCTAGCTGGCTGAGTCATGACTTACTGACTAGCTTTTATGTTCAAGAAAGTAACTGACATTGTAGAATGACTGGTGATCTTTCTTAGTCAGTGATGAGAAGGTCAGCTGACTGTTGCTGTCTTATGGCCCATTGATTGACTGACTCACTGACTCTATTATCCAGGGACCGCCCAACTGACTGAATGATTTTTGGCTGATTGATTGACTGACTAACTGACTCTGCTTTCTGGGGACTTACCAAATGATTGAATGATTTTTGGCTAATTGAATTGTCCAGGGACTGGCCAACTGACTGAATGATTTGTGGCCAATTGAATTGTCCGGGAACTGACCAACTGACTGAATGATTTATGGCTGATTGAATTGTCTGGGGACTGACCATCTAACTAAATGATTTACAGCTAATTGAATTGTCCGGGGACTGGCCAACTGACTGAATGATTTATGGCTAATTGAATTGTTCGGAGACTGAATGATTTTTGGCTGATTGATTGACTGAATAACTGACTCTACTGTCCAGGGACTGACCAACTGACTGAATGATTTATGGCTGATTGATTAACTGACTGACTCTACTGTCCGGGGACTAGCCAACTGACTGAATGATTTTTGGCCGATTGATAGACTGAATAACTGACTCTACTGTCTGGGGACTGGCCAACCAACTGAATGATTTTTGGCTGATTGATTCACTGAGTAACTGACCCTACTGTCCCGGGACTGACCAACTGACGGAATGATTTATGGCTAATTGAATTGTCTTGGAACTGGCTAAATGACTGAATGATTTTTGGCTAATTGAATGGTCCAGGGGCTGACCAAGTGACTGAATTATTTATGGCTGATTGATTGACTGACTAACTGACTCTACTGTATGGGGACTGGCCAACTGACTGAATGATTTTTGGCTGATTTATTGACTGAGTAACTGACTCTACTGTCCGGGGACTGACCATCCAACTGAATGATTTTTGGCTGATTTATTGACTGAGTAACTGACTTTACTGTACGGGGACTGGCCAACTGACTGAATGATTTTTGGCTAATTGAATTTTTCGGAGACTGACCAACTGACTGAGTGATTTTTGGCTGATTGATTGACTAAGTAACTGACTCTACTGTCCGGGGACTGACCAACTGACTGAATGATTTTGGCTGATTTATTGACTGAGTAACTGACTCTACTGTACGGGGACAGGCCAACTGACTGAATGATTTTTGGCTAATTGAATTGTTCAGAGAGAGACCAACTGACTGAATGATTTTTGGCTGATTGATTGACTGAGTAACTGACTCTACTGTACGGGGACTGGCCAACTGACTGAATGATTTATGGCTAATTGAATTGTCCAGGGACTAACCATCTGACTGAGTGATTCTTGCCGAATTGAATTGTCTGGGAACTGGCTAAATGACTGA